TTTGGTATTGGATTCTCAGTAATATAATAAATATTACTCTGTAATTGACTTATATAATTGATAAAGTAAATATTAAGTTATAAAAACATTTATGATTTCATGGATCGAACTATTCGACCAAACGGTTGAACTATTGACCCAAAAAATAGAGGCAAAAGCAATTACATTTCTGGGTTGGTTTTTAAAACATTGATCCATGGCATCCCTCCATTGAGGACTACTAATGGCCTATTGGTAAGAGTGGGGAATATCTGTGGAAGACAAAACAACAGAAAATGAGCTATGGTCCGAAGGAAAACCATACGATCAGGTGGTTTAGAAACACGAGTAAAACAACACAGAGGAACAGAAGGAACAATAGAGGAATATGAAACAAGAGTGTCACTTATAGGGGTGTCTAAAACGGACCGAAGATCGGAACCAGGAGGAAGGGGGTTGTAAACGCAGGCACTAGACTACGAACTTGCGTGCAAGAAAAGATGAGAAGATCCTTCACAACAGTTGAAGACGAAGCATCTTGTGAATCAAAGTCACACAAAATAGAAATAGAAGGTATAGATAGCTTGGCTACTCTTGAAAAGAAAGAGATGCTCAAGAAAAACCACATTTCGAGAAATACGAATACGATGCACAAAGGAATCCTAACAAAGATATCCCTTGTGGTTAGGATTGTATCCCATAAAGGCACACATAACAGATTGAGCTAAAAGTTTAGAATGCTCACGAGAGGGAAGATGCACAAAACAAAGACATCTAAAAACATGAAGATGAAAAACATTTGGAGGGCAACCAAACATTTTCTAATGAGGAGACATGTTAGCAAGAACCAATAAAGGAATATAATTAATTAACTGCACAACCATACTAGCAACCTCTACCCAAAATGAGGGAGGCACATACAACATTGAGAATGTGGCCATTCTTCCATTATGTCACACTATTTTGATGAGGAGTGTCTGGATAGCTCCATTGAACTTGTATGCCATGATGTTTCAAATAAACCAAAAATCCTCTATCATTGTATTCTCCCCTTGAGTCAGAGTGTAAGATCCATACACTTGATTGAAACCGAACTCAAACCATAGCGTGAAACAACTATATCTACCTCTGAATCAAGTTGCTTCCCTTCTATGTTCATAGCAGTCATGAGTCTAGTCTCTTCCCTTAGCAACTCTCCCATTATAGTCTAAATCCATAATGGTGCTTCTACTCAAAATATTAGACCTGATTATTTGAAATTCAGGTCTCAGTCTCATAAGGAACTAGTTCACTTCCTCTTCTCAAAATGCTTTTGTAGATACTTAACACACTCTAAGGAATCAAAAGGATCAATGTGAACCGGTTTATATTCTGCCCATAAATTAATAAAGCCTGCATAGTATTCCTGTATCTTTTTGTCCCCCTGGCAGTAAGCAAAAATCTCAGACTCAATATGATATTATCTTGACAAGTTGGACTGATGATAAACCTTTTTCAAATAGGAATAAATCACATAGTCTGTTCATTGTCTTCTCATGGGAACAACAATGTGAGGTACAACAAAGCTGAGAATCCAGGAGACTAATTTCCCATTGTCCAGCTTCCATTGTGTAAAGGCCTTAGTGTCTGTTTCATTGGATTTACAAACAGTTCCATTCAAATAGCCTTCAAGTCACTTTCCTTCAACAAAGAAGTCGAAATGGAACTTCCACATGCTATAGTTGGTTCCATCAAATTTCAGCCATCACAAATAAATAAAAACAGTCTAGAGAGTAAAGTAGCAGCACTGATATTTATTTTTCAAGGTGGCTAACCACTTTACTTGATTCAGAAACAATTTAAATATTGAAAGTAATATCACATCAATCAAACACAGGACTTTCTCAGAAAAAGAATCCTTGACAGCAAGGCTGAAGTAAGCAATGTAGATAAACAGTAGAGAAATCAGGTCCAGAAGATATGTATAATTAAACAACTTCAGTCGGACAAGTAACAGAGATAAACCACCCTATAGAGAAAACAAAATCCTCCAAGAAATTCCCAAAACAAATCCAACCAGGTAGTATTCAGTGTTCACAGTTCAAACCCAAGTGTTTCAGGACTATTGAACTGCGGAGAGGATTGAATACCCTCTAGAACCGATTATGAACCTATACCATGAAATTGAGAAGTGAGAATACCCAAATAACGCCAAATCTAGGGTTCCAAGGATAATAAACAATTGATTGAGAAAACAGAGGGATTCACCAACCTGATATGGGAAGTTTTCTAGAAAGGAAACTATTTTGTGCAGTTCAAATTAACCTCCAAGTGATTTCAAACGAACAACTCAAAGAAGAGTGGTCTATGTCTGGAGAAACTCAGTCTGGACCAATGGCAGTCAGAAGTGGAGTTCTAGAAGCTTGCATGAACACTTAGAAATGAACTAGTCCAAAGAAGGAAAAGAAATCTGCTGCCGCCCTGGAGAGGAGATCAAAACTCCTCCAAAACTTGTCCAATCTCAAAGAAATTTTCTAAGTGAGTAAAACTGGCCAGGGCGACACAACCAATCAAATTTCACTTCAAGCAGATGCCATCCAAGAGAGTTCTAAGAAGATGTCTCTAGTTGAAATCGCAGAACAGAGTGACCTAGGGCTAGGGTTGATCAAAGAAGTGGAATTGAGGGCTCGAGAATGAGAAGAATGCATGTCTTCATCTTCCTCTTCTGCTTCTTTGTCTTCATCTTTGGATTCCTAAAATCCTCGAACTGCATCTTTGAGTCTTTGTAGAGTCTTCGAAGTTTCAGGTTGAAGGTTTGAATGAACAATGAACCTTTAAGCCTAAATGTTTTAGTTTATGTTATAAAAGACATGCTACAATATATGATGGTCTATCTAAGTCTATAGACCACCACAAAGCAAGCCTTTAAATGGAATCTTTAAAACATAACTACAAGGATGTTACAATGCAATAGGGTCTATTGTAATACTATAGACCTCCTAATAGAAAACTTATAAAAAGAATCTTTAATATATTCTTATAGTCTTATATTACACTTATATGAAAGTCTATAGTAATATTGTAGACCTTCATTATAAAAACCAACAAAAATGAATAAGTAATAAAAAAATTAATATTTAAGATAAAATATAAAATATTCATAAAAAGCAAACGATTAAACTAACTACTTATTAAAATAAAATAAAATGCACGAATTGAAATATTTTTATAATAATAAAATATTAAATGGTTTATCTAGTTTATATGATTTAATAAATAATTTATATGGTGATATTTTAGACCCTCATTATAAAAGTAACAAAAATGAATAATAATAAGAAAGTTAAAATTTGAGATAAATATTCATAAAAACAAAAAGTAGTAAGATATTTTATATAATAATAAAAATATTACTTAAACTAATTACTTATTAGAATAAAATAAGTAGTTTTCTTAAAAATAAAAATATTAATTTGTTTATATTGTTTACATGATTTAATTCTAATTATTTACTAGAACAAGAACATGTGCATCATAGAAGATAATAGTCTGGAAAGGTGTATTAATGTTTCTTTTATCATTTTACAGAATATCATTGCATATTTCCAAATATTTCATAATATTTCCCCAATATCTATAATTTTTACATTATTTCTATCTGACATTTCCGACATCACTGACATTACCGACATATGTCCTATATTTGGGTAAACAACATTTCCATCGACATCGACATTTTAACCCTTGATTAATGAGTGAGCATGGAGCAAACATAGATTATAGAGTAACCTGCTCTAATACCATGTCATACAGCCGGTTTGAGCTAGAGAAAGGAACACCAGAAATCAGGGGTGAATCAGAATGAATTGACCCCACCCCAAGAGCCAAAATATATCATAGTTGTCAAGGTGACACCTAGGCGACAAGGCGCCCTTGGAGGCTCACCTCGCCCAGTCGCCAAGCAGTTTTGCATACTATGTAATAAAATACTTTTATATTGTTATTTTTTTGAGATTATAATTATAAAATAGACATTATTAAAGAAAAGTATTCATTTTTTGTGTTTATAAACTAATTTCTTTTTATTATTTTCTTATTTGTTAGGGTTTAATCAATACAAACATTGCTAACTGCTGTATTGAACCCTCAATGACTTCAAAATCTGAACCAATAAGTGAGGGAACTAGGGAAGAACTTAAAATTTTGTCTAATCAACACATTTCTTCTTCCACCTTTTCTTTTCTTCTTTTCCTATAACAAAAATAGGGGTTCAGCCCCTATATTTTTTGAATTTTCTTTCCTTTCTTCTTTTTCTTCTCATTAATATGTTGATTTTCTAGACTTAAACATGAAGTTTATAATTTTCTTATGAAAATTATGAATAGTTATTAAAGAGAGTTGGTTATGGAACCTAGGGAACTACCCTAGGATATGTGATTTTCACTTAAAAAAAATCCATCGCCTATGCACCCCCCTATCGCCTAGCCTCGCCTTGGCGCCTTGAAAACTATATATATATACATACATACATACTATGATATCGGAAGGATATGGTATCCGAAAAACTTTTTGACCAATCAACTAGTATCATAAACTTGGTAGTCAATCATGTGTTATTTATCAAAATCCATGGGTGGGTTTTGATTGGTCTATATATACATATGTGAGTATTTACAAAAAGAGCCCTTACGAGGCTAAAGAAACTAGGCTTCAATCTCACTTTTATTTATTTACTATTTATGTTAATTTATTTTAACAAAAGAATTTAAAAGAAATAAACAAAGTTTTCTACACATGGCAAATCATGGACTGCTAGAAAATGAGGCTTATGCCTTGGCTGCAACTCATGTTTTGTCTCACTCTACACCATGCAAGGTTAAGGATTAAGCTCATAGTTAGGACATGATGCTATAACCTCAAGGCAAAAAGGCACTGCTTCACCTTGAGGCATATGCACTCAACTAGAGGCTATAGCCTAACCATGCTGTTAATAAATAGTCATGTTACTGATCAAAAAGGAAGAAACAAAGTAAAGAACGTACCAAATGCAGCAAAGACAATCCTTGCTTGTCACAGTAATTTGCATCCACACCCTGTCAACATAAACAATTTGTCTTATATCGAGCATAGTGCATAATTCAATGGTGAAGCAATAATGGACATACCTCACTCAATAACCTCTTGACTGCAGCAATGTCACTATTCTTAACAGCTTCTCTTAAACCCTAGGCAGAAAAGACAATCCATTGGAAAATTGGAATATAATCTGTTCTGAACAAACAATTCTGCAACATGCACTAAACCTCCTTTTGTGATAATCCAAGTTATCTTTAGTGTAATATACCTCACCAGTAGCTTCATAATCCATCCGAGGTTTATCCAAGAGACCATTGTTCAGTTGACCAAGAGAGATGAATGAACTGCAAATCCATGTTATGGTTAGCTTTTATAATGAAATTCATAGACTATCCACCAAAAATCTGGCTTTTATGATCATTAGCAAAATAGAAAAGGTCCAAACATATTCAAGAAAAGACTGATAAGAGAAGACATCATCTAAAGTATCTCTGTAGAGGCCAGATACGAGAGACTAACAAACATAACAAACAGAACTACACCAAGGTTCTCCCTAGTACATCTCTCTTGCAAAGTTGTTTGTAAGAAAGTTTTCTGATCTCCAGGTCCTCCTGAACAAGATGTTCACTTCTGATGCCATTTGTCTCTCTCACAAAGCGCCGAGGCTCCACAAACCCTTTTCCCCATCTCCTAAGGATTCTTTCATTCAATTCATTCCATATGCTCCAAAGGATTGCTGCTCTAGTGCATTGCCACATCAATTTTCCCCTTTGTTTTTGAAGGAGTTAGCTGAGAAGCAAAGAGATCAAACACATCTAGTTTAGTAGCCCCAGCACAACTAAATAAGAGAAAAATGTCTCCATATATTTGTTACAAGGAACAAGACAAGAATAAATTATTTGCCATTCTCATCCTTGAAGCATAGGATGGACACATGAAGGGTACAAATATCAGTTCTGTATCCTCTGAAACATCGCTCTGTTGTTGATGAAGGTAGGATATATTTGCCTTTCACTCTCCCAAACTCAAGAAAATGGAGTTTGCTTGCATATTAGACAATATGAACCTTGCATCCAATAATGGGATTTCCTTGAGCATATAGTCATTTATACATCTGCTTAACGTTTTAATGCTTGCCATGTTTTTAGATAGCCTTATTTCTTTTTCTCATAGAATTTATAGTTTTAAAGTCACCTCCAATGACCCATGCTCCAACCTGCAGGTCTCTCACAATAGGACCCAGCAGTCTCCTAGAGCCAGATTTTTAGGACTACCCATGTTCAGATTGGTCTCAAGCAAGCTTAATCTGATCATACATTATTTATTAAGAGATCTAGAAATTTACTCACATCTCTCATTGTTTATGTGGATGATTGGTGCAGTCATGCAGGAGCCGAAGAGTCAAAATTGGAATTTTGTGAAATTTTATGTATTTCTATATTTTTGGGCACTGGGGATATTTTTGCCATTTTACAATTTTTCTGTAGGGTCCAATGATAGGGTCTAATTTGTCTATTTATAGTTTGTTTATGTTTAAAATTTCAGAGTCATTGCATAAGTAGGATTAGAGTTATTGATTCTTCTTTGAATTGAAATAGGATATGGCAACTTAGTTTGAGCCCTAGTAGGATTATTGAGTCTAACAGTTTAATTCCTAGGACTATTATGAGTCTAACAATTTGACTCCTAGGATTATTATGAGCTTGGAGTCTATAAATATGTATGGATATTTTACATAAAGACAGATGAAGTTTATTGAGTTTTCTTTAGCTTATGCTAATTATGGTGAACAATTCCCATACCCTAGAGTGATTCTAGGCACCCCGTAAGTGATTCTGGGTATTTTCTCTCTTCTTCCTATTCCTATTTTATTTCTTGTTCCTTCAAGAAGCCATTACAGCCATCAACATCCATAAATTTCTGATCAAAGAAGACCATTAAACATTCTTTAAGGACTATAATTGAGCTAGTCCTACATCAGTTTGGTATCAGAGCTAATGGTTTATTCACTATGTTCTCACAAAGTGACCGATTCCATAGGCCTAGGGTATCTTCTAAACAATCTTACAAATCTAGAATCAATGATGATTGGGTTTTTGAACCATACGAAGGGTCTCTGGTTGACTTATTTGAGAAGATGGTGGAAAAAAATAGATCTAATTATGTTGACTACAGGAGTAAAGTTTTCAAACATGTTGGAAGAGAAATGGGAATACCGGATTTCAAAGGAGATGATGATCCACAAGCATTTTTTAATTGGGTTGCTGAACTAGGAGAATATTTTGGTTGGCATGATATGTTTGACAAACAAAGGATTACATTTGCACAAATGAAGTTGATAGGTCATGCTAAAGTATGGTGGAGAACTCTTGAGCAACAACTAGAAAATAGAGGTAATGATCCTATTAGTAGATGGGCGGAGATGAAGAGGTGTTTGCAAGAGAAGTATATCCCGCTAGACTTCCATGATAATTGTTGAGGATTTAATCAGTTTTGTGCAGAATTAATAGTAATCTTTTATATGTTTATTGTTTAGATAGGAAGTGGGGACCACGAAACTCTTGTTGGGCCCTTTGTTGATTGCCTTTTAAGTGTTTTATGCAGTTTTAGATGCTTGCCGCCCTATAAGGGCATATTTGTCATTGTACTCCACTTGCCAGATTATGAGCTCTCTTTTCTCTCTCAAACCTCTTCCTCTTCTTCTTTTCTCTTCTCTTCTTCAAGAAAACATCTTTTCTTTTACAGATTTTTTAATTCAGCAAGATTTCTACTTGGTATCAGAGCAAGGTTAGGGAGATCTCCCATGCAACCCTAGATCAACCGATTGCATGAGGAGATAAAGGGCTGATTGATCTACTTCAGATTGCCCATTTCTTAGATTTTTTGGTGTATTTCAATCATCAAGACGGTTATCTATGTTTTGGCATCAAAATCAAGAAGAACTGGAGTGCGGGGAAGAATCCTAGGAAAGTTGGACTCTTCATTCTTGATTTGATCTTGGGCGCTTGGACCTTGTTGGACTTTCTAGGGTTTTTAGAGTGGGCGGTTGGGTTCTTGGATATTTTTAAGCTTTCTAGAGTGATCGAGTCACTCTTCTCTCTAGTGGGAGACGGTGGGAGAACAGGGTTTTCTCTCCAGATAGGGTTTTCTCCTTCCAGAAAGGTCAGCCGCCATTGTGAGTGAGATCAATATGATCTTAGAGACTTTCTACCTTGTGCGTTTCTGGTTTTGAATTGTTTGAAGCCGAGATGGAGGGCTGGAGTACTGAGCAGAATTCTGGTTTTGAATTGGTTATGGAATTATTACCATAGTTAAATTGGATGGTATAAATTATTTAGAATGGGCACAATCAGCCAAGATGGCCATTGGTGCTCGTGGAAAACTAGGGTACATAACTGGGGAGTAAAAGAAACCTGATACAGATTCCTCCCGGTGGGTACAAGAGAATGACATGGTGATGTCCTGACTATGTAATTCTATGTTACCCCACATTGGCAAAAATTTTCTATGGGCTAATACAACAAAGGAGATTTGGGATGGAGTGACTAAAACCTATTCCCAGAAGCAGAATGTAGTCAGAGTCTATCAGTTAAGGAATCAGGTGATTAGTATAAAATAGGGAGATAAACCTCTTGCCATGTATTTCTCCATGTTGAAAACCCTTTGGCAGGAGATAGATCACTTAGAAACTGTGGTTTGGGAAAGTGTGAATGATGTAGCAACCTATCAGAAGTTGGTAAAGAAGAATAGGGTTTTTGACTTCTTGGCCGAGTTAAACCCTAAATTCGACATTGCTAGGCAACATATCCTTTCTAGAGAGAGTGTGACACTTTCTCAAGCCTATGCCTTTGTTTCTGGAGAGGAGAGTAGGAGGAATATCATGTTGAGACAACCTGGGATTGATCAGTCTGCTATGGTTAGTACAATCAGACCCAAGCCAAATGGAGACAAGGGGAGCAATGAGACTAAGAGGGAGGACAAGGACTTGGTGTGTGATTATTGTAAGAAGACCAGGCATATCAGAGACACTTGCTAGAACAAGAAGGGAAATGCAAATGTGACAATTACAAGAGACTCTTCGAGATCCCTTACCCATGCTGATTGGGAGACCATTGCAGTAGTAGCAGTCAGAACCGAATTGGAAAAGTTTGGACAGCTTATGAGTAAGAAGGATTTAGCCGGTTCTAGCTCTTCAGATGGACAACAGAGTGTAAGAGACAATCATACCACCTCTTTTGCTCATATGGGTAGCTCATATGCAACTGCAAATTATGCATCCACCTCAGGTAAGGAGAGACCTCCCTAGATTATAGACTCAGGAGCATCTGAGCACATGACTAACATACCTACCATTTTCATTTCTTACCAATTGTGCTCTAGTAGAGACAAAGTCTCTACAACAGATGGTTCACATGTCCCCATTGCTGGGAAAGGGATAGTTAGAGTGACCAATAATATTACTTTATCTTCTGCCTTACATGTCCCTAGACTTCATACTAACCTTCTTTCTGTTAGTTCTTTGACAAAAAATTTGAATTGTTTAGTGACCTTCCTCCCTACTAATTGTGTTTTGCAGGATCTGGAGTCAAAGAGGACCGTTGGGAGTGGTCATGAGGTGAATGGAGTCTACCTTTTGGATGAGATACTGAGACATCAGAGCCACCATGTTAATAGCAATAATAGTAGTGGATTAGAGTCAGTGAGTCAAATTATGCTCTGGCATAATCGGTTAGGTCATCTTTCTTCCAGATCATTAAAGTTTTTGTTTCCAAAGTTGTTTAAGTCTATCCAATTATCTAGTTTGGAGTGTGGAAGTTGTCAGTTGGGAAAGCATTGTAGACATTCTTTTAAATCAAGTAATACAAGTACTTTTGCTTTCGATGTTGTTCACACTGATGTACGGATGATGTACAGAACCATATCATATTCCTTCCATGGGTGACTACCGTTATTTCCTCTTGTTTGTGGATGACTACACATGGTATTCTTGGACATTTGATGAGATCCCGTGATGAGGTACCTAATTTGGTATGACAGTTCCACCAAATGGTTCTCACACAATTTGGAGTGAGAGAACTAAGGTCTTTAGATCAGATAATGCCGGAGAATATTTTGAGAAGAATTTCGCCACATACTTTTTGGAGCATGGTGTAATTCATCAGAGTAGTTGTGCATATACACCACAATAGAATGGAGTAGCAGAGAGGAAAAATAGACACATTGTGGAGGTGGCAAGAAATCTTATGGTGTGTGCTTCAGTTCCTATTCGTTTTTGGGGGGGATGTAGTTCTCATAGCTGTGCATTTGATTAACCGTGTCCCTTCACGTACTTTGAGGTTTAATG